ATGCCGCTGCAGCTGCTGCTGCTTTTGTTGCTGTTACTGCTGCTGCTTGTGCTGCTGCTGGTGCTGCTATTGCTGCTGTTGCTGTTGCTATTGCTGTTGCTGCTGCTGCTGGTGCTGCTGTTGCTGCTGATGCTGCAGCCTATGCTGCTGCCTGTAGTAGCATAAGCGCCGTCTACTGCTACGCAGCAGCTGCTGCTGCAGCAGACGTGATACAGCAGCAACTCATCATCAACAGCAGCACCAATAGAGCAACAGCAGCAGCGCCAGCAGCACCAGCAGCAGCACCAGCGTCATCGTCAGCATCATCAGCAGCAGAAGCAGCAGCAACAGCAGCAGTAGCAGCAGCAGCAGCAGCAGCAGAAGTAAAAGGGTGTGTATGTGTGTGTCTGTCTCACCTTTGGTGGTGTTCGCTAGAATTACAGCGGGGTGTACATGCAGCTGCTGATGGACAAAAATATTATCCGGCTTTATATTACGATGTATAATTTGTTTGCCGTGTACAGACTCTAAACACTGCAGCAAACCCTCAAACAAACGAAGGGTAACCCAACGACTAAACTGGCGGCCCCCCAATGACATACAATCCGAGTCCTGCAACTCCTGCATGCAGCAGCAGCAGCAGCAACAACAGCAGCAACAGCAGCAGCAGCAACAGCAGCAGCAGCAACAGCAGCAGCAGCATCAGCAGCAGCAGCAACAGCAGCACATACACTCAAACAATGGTGAAAGACTGACGTTGGGCGTCAAGCTAATAGTCGATAGCTTCTTTAGGCTTAGGGCTGAAGACTTCTCTTCAGGGTTTAGGGTTTGGGGCGTAGGGTTTAGGGTTTAGGGTTTAGGGTTTAGGGTTTAGGGTTTGCTTGCCCTCCAGAATGACCTGAGGTTTCTTCTGTGGAACTCCGTGCAGATGTGCAGTACTCCGTTATTTAGCTCAGCACCCACATATCTCACGATGGGGAGCACTGGCTGCTGCTGCTGCTGCTGCTGCTGCTGCTGCTGCTGGCGCCGTTGCTGGTAGTGGAAGGGGCAGTCATCTTGTTTGTGACTGCTTCTGCTGCTTCTGCTGCTGCTGCAGCTGCAGCCGGGTGCAGCAACAGCAGCATCAGCACCCGCAGCAGCAGCATCAGCAGCAGCAGCAGCAGCAAATGCATGCTCTCGCTGCAGCAGCTGCAGCAGTGCCAGCTCCCTCAGCAGCGATGCAGGAACTCCATCGTTTACTTCTGCGTTGCAAACTTTTAAATTAACAGATCGAATAGCCACAGGAGACAGCAACTCGCTGCTGCTGCTGCTGTTGCTGCTGCTGCTGTTGCTGCTGGTGCTGCTGCCGGTGCTGTTAAGCTGCCGCAGGGTTTCTCGTATGCTTCGCTGCTCCGTCTGCTGCAGCTGGTGAAGCAGCACTGTGGGTATGAGCCCAGCGTAGACTTTGCCTTTGCTTCTTCTTTCAGATATTCCTTTTAAACGAAGTGCTGCAGCAGCAACTAATCCTTGCTGCTGCGCTAGGGGCAGCCAGCAGCAGCAGCGCAGCACCGCCACACGAAGAGAGCAGCAGACACGAGAGAGATAACACAGAGAGTCGCGTCCTCCTAGAAAAACAATAATTAAATATATGAAGCGGCACAGCACATCCACTGGTGCTACTGCTGCTGCTGCTGCTGCTGCTGCTCCTGCTGCTGCTGGTATTGATGGTGCTGCTTCTGATCGTTCTGCTTTTGTTTCGTTTCTTTCATCCCCTGCATCTGCAACATCTGCTGCTGCTGCTGCTGCTGGGAGTGTTGTTTTTGCTTTGGCTAGTGCTGCTGCTTCTGCTGCTGTGTGTGCTGCTGTTGCTGCGGAGGCTAAGGAAGATACAGTCATTGGGGCTAGCTCGAAGCAAGATGCTGCTTCTGATTCATCGCAGCTGCTGCTGCTACAGGGGCTGTCGCTGCTGTCGCTGCTGCTGCTACAGCTCCTGCTGCTGCTGCTGCTACTCGTGCTGCTGCTGATGCTGCCGCCGCCCCCTCCGCGTTGGCGATGCCTACGGCCTTTCACCCGGCTTTTGAAGCTTAAGAATGAGACGTTGGTGCTGCTGCTGTTGGCGTCGCTGCTGCTGTTGCTGCTGTTGTTGCTGCTGCTGCTGCAGGTGCTGCTGCTGCAGAGATTGCTGCTGGCTGGCACAGAAAAACAACAGCAAACGGTTGTCTGAGTAGAATGTGCTGCATATGATGTATGGTGAATGGAGGCATCACTGTCGCTGATGCTGCTGCAGCTGCAGTTGCTGCAGCTGTTGCTGCTGCAGTTGCTGCAGCTGTTACTGTTGCAGTTGCTGCTACCGTTTGCCTCCAATGCAAAAGACCGCCATTGTGGTGCTGTTGCTGTTTCTGCTGCCACATGTGTTGCTGCTGCTACTGTTGCTGCTGTGGCTGCTGCACCTGCTGCCGTTTCTGCTCCACTTGCTGCTGCTGCTGCTGCTACTGGCTGCTCCTTGCGGCTTCGTTTTGATCGTGAGAGCCTTGTGGGGAGATGTGCCTTGGGGAGGTGTCTAGGAGACTGCTTGGAGTCGGTTGAATCTTCAGTTCTTGCTGCAACAGAAGACGCAGATGCTGCTGCTGCTGCTGCTGATGATGATGCTGTTGCTGCTACTGCTGTTGCAGTTGGGCTGGATGTGAAGTTCGATGTCTCGCTGCTGCTGCGCCTGCTGCGGCTGCTGCAGCTGCTGCAGCTGTCGCTGCTGGGTGATCTGTCTCTTTTGCTGTTTCTGTTCATTGCACTGAATATGGAAACAGCAAACACGAAGCACTGCTGTCTTTGTTCTGCTGCTCCTCAGCTGCACGAACAAACGCCACCAAGCCCAGAGATAACGTAGGACTGCTGCGGAGAAGAAATAAAATTAATTTATTTCATTTTCTTCCTTAAGCAATGAAATCTTCAGCTGCGAGTCGTCGCAGTCCTTCTCTGCACAGTAAGCAATACATGTGGCGGTCTTCAGGGCCGGGAGGCGGCCTCATAGGGGAGAGTAAATAATGATTAATAATGCAGAAACGTGCATTATATAAACTATTAATTATTTTTGAAGAAAACAACAAGCTGGGGCTGCTAAAGAAAGCCTCACTCATCACTGCGGAGCGGCCGTTCAACACCAGCGGTCAGGCGGTGGTCCTGGCGGCTGACGAAGGGAAGCCTGAAATGTACCGCGAGAACTGCGTTTATTTGTATTTATTGACAGACAATGATTATAAAAAGGGTTAAAATGCATTTAAAATAATTAGTAAGGAGGTGCTCATGGCAAAGAAAAATATATAAAACCCTCGTGGAGTCTTCGCTCACTCCTCAGTGACCCGAAACCGCTGCAAAATCAATTTTGAATTTTCCATCTAAATTGCAGAAAATCATGAATAAGAAGTTGAAATAATATTAAAAAAAAAGTTTTTAATGAATAATAACTGAGGGAAAAGGACAAAAAAGAGAGCAAACTGCAATTTCAACTTGCAGTTCAGCATCTTACTGATCTCACTGATGAATCTGCCCACTGGAGGACAAATAGGGCACTATTACAATTGAAATTTGCAATGAGTTTATAATTTTATATTTTTATCAAAAAGCTTTCCTTCAAAGTTTCATCAACTACAGGGGAGGGAAGCTCAGCTGCAATGTCGCCGTACTTAAGGATTACGTACATGTCGGGAAAGCTAACGATATTTTTCTGCTGAAATGTGAGCAACAGTAAATGTACATTCCCAGTACTTTGCTGAACACTTAATACCTCACAACTTCCTGAAACAGACCCTTATGCTACGTCCTCAACCCAAATACATGCATCCGTATACTTCAGCGAGTGGCTTAGTACCGATAAGCTGCGAACGAAAGGACTTAATCAGCGTTAGCGATTTGCATCGCCGCCATTGCGTCAACAAGACGCAAGACATTAGACAGCCACGCAAATACTACGGGCAAATAGAAAGAATTGCCTGTCTTGGTGGCTAGCCTCCTTCAATTGTGCTTTTCTTTCTTTCTCCTGGTGTATTAAACAGCAGGCAGAAAAAAGATATATTTGCTTCCACTCCCATCCGAAGACTTTCGCCGCATCCTTCGTAAAAAGACGCAGCAGCTGCAGCTGCAGCAGTCTACCTCCGGAGGGTTTGTTTGGAACATGCAGCAACGAGTACGCAACAACGTGTGCTGTTTGAATAAAGTCTTTTAGCTCGAATGCCTCTTTTCTGTTTGCTGCTGCTGCGTGCACGCATGCATGCATGCATGTACACATACATGCATGCATGCACGCATACATACATACATGCATGCATGCATGGATGTGCAGCCCTTTAAGCGATAACGTCGATCTTGACACCGTATTTGACGTTTTCTGCATTTTGTCCTTTAGAAACATCCAACTGAGTGCCTACAGTTGCGTGAAGATAACTGCAGAGTTTGTGCGTGACGGCGACAGCGAGGGTTCCGTGTTGTGATATTTTTGATTTAATTGCGGTGTCTTTTTCATCATTCATATACCACAAACCACCAAATGTTATATTCGTCTTGTTCTCAGGAATGCTGTATTCAACTTCAGCAGCTAACTCTGCTCCGCGACCGTCCAATGACTTTCCGTTCAAACTCCCTATTATCTTTCCCAACATCATTCCACCAGCAGGCGCGCTGCAACAAACAAACAAACAAACAAACAAACAAACAAAATAGCAATCGTCGTCTTCACATGTAGAAAACCACAGCCTCAGATGTTGAATGTGCATATATATATATATATATGTATATAAACAGCGAAGAAATACCTCCGAAGAGCAGATACAAACAAATAAAACAATAATCATATATATATACATATTTTACATTTCTGTATACATACGCATCTATATATATAATATCAATAATAATAATAATATACAAAGAAAGCCTCACGTCTTAACGGCTGCAACCCAACTGCCTCCTTTAAGCCCAGGGGTGGGTGCAGTGTAAGAGGCGCCCAACGCATATTTCATTCCTGCGCAGTCGAGCTTCCCTGACACTTCTCCTGAAGAATAATGAAGAAAATAAAATAAATAAACAAAATAACTTAGTCTAATCATTTATTCGAACGAAAAACAAAAAAAAACAAACAAATTCATATTTTTTTACGTATTAAACACTCGCAAGTATTTCTCGCACTTCTCCTGAAGAATAATGAAGAAAAAGAAAATATATAAGCAATACAACTTATTTTAACCATCTATGCAAACAAATAGCAATAAAAAACAAATAAATTTATATCTTTTCTCATTAAATACCTACCGCCGAAGCGGAAGCGATCATAGGTAAACGTTCCCGAAGAAACAAACGTCCTCAGCACAGGATTTACCTGAAGAAATAAAAATAAAAATTAAAAAAAGATAAGTTGAAACATAATTCAAAAGGATTCAAACACTAACTCCTAAATACAAAAAAATTCTAAGCCCTAAACCCTAAACCCTAAACACCAGCTCAACACCGAAACACTGCAATATACAGCCATGGATTAAATGAAGAAAACAAACAAACAAACAAAATAAATAGAATTCCATCACTTAAACAAGCAAAACAAATAAATAAATCAATGAAATCAACGAAATAAAGAAGCGAACAACGAGCATACACATGTACACATACTAAACAAACAAACAATTAAATAAACAAATAAATAAATAATAAAAAGCCTCACATTGAAAATGCTGTGGAAGCGAGGGGCAACATATTCAGTGGAGAAGTCAAAGACATCGGCGCCTCCTTTATCTCCTTTCCGTTCATATTTCGAAGACAGAATTAAATTTGGTAGCTGCGGAACCTAAAAAGAAATAAACATAAAAATAAATATAAAAATAGACATAAATATTTATATTAATGTAAGTATTATATTGTATTGTTTTATTCAGAAGAAATATTCAAATAAAATCGGTTAGGCATTTAAATATGTCTCTCATTTTAATTCGATATCCAAACTCTAAGGAAAAAAATAATAAATTATGTTGTTATATAATTCAACTTCTAGTGCGCCCTGACTTAGGCTGATATAATATACATTATATATATATACATATATATATATATAATATATATATTATATATATTATATATATACATGTGCATTTGCATAACATAAGTGCTGATATTATACAAACATATGGATGGGTATATTCTTCTTGCCTTATGAATTAATATATTATTAGATAACAGTTCGTAATGAAAATAACAACAAAATATTTATTTAATGACGATTTCAATAAAGATTTATTAATATAAAATAATACTGCATGCGGCAACATCAAAGAAGGTGAGAAGAGCTGCATATTTTTATTTGAATATATAATATACAGAACAAGAAAGAGGAGTATTCATAATCACATATAATAATAGAGTATAATATAAATTTCTTTAATTGTTTGTATTTACGTAAATAAAGAATAAATAAATAATAAAATAAAACGCCTAACCTTATAAGATAAATCCACGTAAGAGCGCCCTGCAGATAAAACTTTTACTTCTGCTGTAGCATCGCCTGCGGTGTATATTAAAGCTGAAGATGCCTCGAAGATGTTCGAGCTGCTGACACCAGCAGTGTTTATTATTTGCTGCAACATTACACAAACCCCAAACCCTAAACCCTAAACCCTAAACCCTAAATCTCCCCCGAGTGATACAAACAAAGCAGAGAAAAATATTCGATAAACTCCAATTGATATAACACATAATTTAATAAATTGCGAGCACACTCATACTCATACAGCCCTTTATACGTCATACTTAAAATAAAACAAACACAACTAAAATAAACCCTAAGAAAGGAAATGAAGAGAGAAGCTCCATTATGACTTCTTGTTTTGTTTGATATACTGCCTTCGCTTTGTCTGTAGCAAACAGCTCACCGGGTTTTTAGACTTGTATTTATACTCCAACTCCCATGGCTTCTCATGGGGGAATCCTTTCTTAAGAAGATCTGCAAGAAGAAACAAACAAATGAAAGAAAAAAACGCAATAGTAAACAGGAAGTATGTGAATGCTTGCGGGTACTCTATGCAGGCGGTGTTGAGACACTTCAAAAGTAGACAAAGGATTGAATGTAGGATTAAAATTGAAAATAAAAAAGAATAAGAAAATATATTCATAAATAATATTCATAACATCTCCGCGATGTCTTCAACTTATAAAATGTGCGGGTTAGGGTGTCTGTATGCGTACAGCAGTTGTTCAGGCGCGCTGAGCGGATTTAGAGGAAGGATTGACATATTTAAGAGTATCTATTGAAGAATAAGCAAAATAAAAGGTGAAAAAGAAGCAAACAAATCAAGAAAAAAACAGACGAGTGCTACGGATGCACGTACCTGAGGCTGGCTTCCCAATATCTTTGAACAACACCATCTTGAGGGTAAAAGCGTTGAATTTTCCTCTTTTAAAGAAATAAAATAAGTAAAATATTAATTCCTTTTCTTTTTATCCAGTTTAAAAGAAGTATATACTCCCTAGACACCCCCAATGCAAACACATGCACAAGATTCTCTCGCCTACCCGCAGGGCTGGCTGCCTGATTTGCAGCTGCGCATACACCGCAGCATCAAAGACAATTACAGTGGCGAAGACAGGTTTATTTTTCTAAAATAGAGAAACATTTAAGTTGATAACTCAAATTATTAGACCAGTGCCGCTCAACCCCTCAGTTTCGCCCCTACAACACCACCTCTAGCCCGCTAGTGTCGCTTAGGCATTTGTAATTTTTAACAAGAGTACGCTGCCTCGAGGTGTATCTGCAGATATGCCTTTGGATTGACTACAGAAAGCGAAGGCGAATAGCTGACGAGGGTGTGGGGATAGTACGACGCCTTCCTGGAGTTTTGTATTAGCTGGGGTTGCACCGAGAGTTTCAGATTATAACGTACTCTGTGTCAAAGTGATAGTTTATAGGGTTGTCTCTCCTTGCATGCAGACTGACTGCTAGAAGCCAAACAGTTGTCTAACAATCCTTTCCAGTGCTAATGCATGCATCAATGGGGGGCCTGGGTGTGCTGAGTAAGGACGCTGAAGTTGGTGGTACGCATAACTCAACTTTCGTGGGAGATGGTTACTGAGGGGGAAGTAAAGGTTTAATGATTGCGTCCAGCGTTAATGCGGGCACCAAAGGGGGCTTCTTTATTCTTATTCTTGCATCGGGGGCTGCCTTGCTTCATGAATTCAAGGTCCTCGATCTTAACAGAAGGGCGTCGTGTGCTGCATGCAGTAAAAACCCAGAAGAGAAAGCAGACCTCGCTGCCCACAGCAACACGGAGAGGTGGCTGCCTGGCGTATGTTGCAGCACTTTTCTGTGCAACGCCGGCTCCAACGCACCCGCACGAGCAATCAAACTCGCAGACATTTTTTTGTACAAGCCTACATGTTAATGTTAAGCCAGCGGTGTATGCCAACGCGTTAACTGGAGAAGGAACACAAGGGGGGCCCTCCTCAATGCAAGGAGAACCTTTCTTTTTCTTCTTGCCTTCCTGCTTGTTTCTGAGAGCTTGCAAAACCACTAAAACCCCTACTCATTAGGGTTGAGAATGGCTGTACAACGCCTTTTATCGGAGGTCTATCTCTTGAGTGCTGCTCTTAGGGCTTCTTTATGCCTTCACCCTCTCTGCCTCCATCAATGAAAATATGCATGAGGTGCATGCATGAAGAAGCTGCTTCTTGTTGAAGCGACTGACACCCAACAGCAAGCTGTACAGCTATATCAGAGAAGCTCTTTTGGTGTAGATATTGGAGGCAAATGAACGGCAGGACTTGGTGTGCACTGTTGTACTATAAACCCTTTCAGAACGCCTGTAACAAAATAGAGAAAAAAAGAAACTAATGCTTGCTGCTGATGATGGGGCTGCATGCGCTGCATGCAAGGACCATTGGTGCATTCAATATAAGCATCTGCCTCCGGGTGGTTAGGGGGGGCAGTGTGCTTTGATTGATATTACTCTGCTTCATCAAATGTCTCCAGAAGGGATTAGTAAATAGCATTAAATAAAGGGGCAGCGCTCTGATTATGTTTATCAAATGCCTATGTCTATCAATTGACTTCATCCACCCGCTTGAAGAACAAATTCTGCAGAATTTAATGGTGAAGACCTGTCTGCTCTTGAGGTGCATGTACAGCCAAGCAAGCAAACAAGCAAGCAAGCAAGCAAGCAAACAAACAAACAAACAAACAAACAAACAAACAAACAAACAAACAAACGAACAAACAAACAAACAAACACACACACGCATATACACACAAACACACACACAAAAGAATGCTGCTGCAATCATTAAAGGGCAGCAGCAGCAGCAGCAGGAACAGCTTGCAACTGTGAATGTAGCATGTTCTGTTTGAAATGGGTATATGCATTTCGAGTTGGTGAACAAACAAAGGACCCTCAGTATTCAGCATGCATGCATGCAAATGCTCTCAGTGTCAATGCATGCATTGAATAGGGGGACATGAGGGCAAATATGTGCATGCAGCTGGGGTTGCAGCGCTTCAACCAGCTGATGCAGCAGCAAGGACTTGCAGCAGCAAGGAGCTGCAGCAGCAAGGAGCTGCAGCAGCAAGGAGGTGGTGCAGCAGCAAGGAGCTGCAGCAGCATCTGACTACCAAATATGTCTCTTCTCTTGTCTGCTGCTAAATAAAATAATCCCCAAGCCCTTGTGAAGTGTATATAAGCCACGTCTTTAGATTGCAAGTGAATACCGCACCTGCTGCTGTTTATGAATATGTTTATTATTTTTATTATTATTATTAGACGGGGTGTAACTCTGCTGCTACTAATAACTGCAATTAATAATAATAATAATAATAATTGAGCTTAAGGGTGTGCCCTTAAGCTCAATTATATATATATATATATATATACATATATGTATATATATACATATATGTTTATATATACATAAGACACACATATGATATTATACATATCGTTTATGTGTGTTGAACTATATAATATGGATATCCATATACACACACATATAATATATATATATATATTATCTATATGCA